CTTTCGGTTTTATATTGGATTAACTTTTGTTTTGCTTGCAATTGTGGTAATTCCACTTGATGTCTTCCCATATACTACTGATGCATATGCTAGCTCCGATGCGTCTTCAAACCCTTGTATTTCTATAGGTTCATTTTGCTTTTAATTTTGCATTAAAATTTATCCATTCACCAGCAATTTTTTCATCCAGCACTTCATCCCATCCAACTTCAGATATCCACAGCCTTTGTATAAATAATTTTACTATGGTTGTCGATGGTGCCAACCATCCCATTGCATCAAAAATTCTTTCTAAGGTCGTTAGAGCTCCTCATTTTGTTACAATCCTTTCTTCTGTCATATTGATTTTAAATCCGAACTCATCACTTTGGGGTTTCCAAATCACTCCCAGTGTCTTCACTGTCTCTTCATTGTTTACATCAAACATCTTCTCCAATGAAGTTTCTGGTTACGATGCTAGAATTTCACGATGGTTTGTCGCCCATTTTCGTAAATGTAAACCATATCTTCCCAGCTCTGTTAATATTTTATTCTGAATTTTAATACAGCTTTCGATGTCTTCGGCACCTGTTCTTTTATTCTTTCGTCGTTACATCTTTTTCCAATTTCTAATTGAGTTCTTGTTGCTAAAAATGGAGCAGATGCAGTATCATATGTTACCGTTTTTAGCTTAAATTCCTTTATTCATTTGATTTCCTCCTCCACAATATTCGCAAATAGTCTTGATCGTCTTTATGTATTTGTCTGTAAATTTTTTCAACGTCAGCTGTTATAACATACTTCCAATTTCTCCTTTTCATAATTATTTCCAAATGTGAATGTGTGGTCTAGTCAATTGTGTGGTCTTGTCAATTGAATATAATTTAGACTTTTTCCAGTTGTTGTTTTTGACGATGCGTCAAACACCACCCGAAGTTTAGAAGTAAGGCTTTCCTCTCTTATAACTGGTTGATGGGGAATATAATATTTTCCTACATCATCGACCTCTACTTCCTCCTTGCGTCCTTGTCGTATATAATCATCCAAGAATTCCGAATATTGTTGCCTTAATTTTGTATCTTTTCCAATCTTCTATTCCAAATTTATTAATCGTGCCACTGCTTTTCCGGGATTCTCCCAACTCTTTATTTTCCACCAAGGTAATTTTGACCACAAAACGCCCGTCGACATCAATCATTGTCGTTTTTCCGTATAAGTCCATAAATTTCTCACTATCTGTTATGGTTATTGTTTCTAGAACTTCATCCAATTCCCAAAATTTCTCCAAATTGACTGTCGAGCTTCCTGTCCTGCTTCAATCCTTGAGTAATAATTTCGGCTAAGAGATCTCCGGGTCCGCCAAGGTTGTATCTTCCCATTTTCGCATATCATACTCAAATGATTGCGGCGGTTGTGGATTTAATAACTTCGTTAAAACCACTGCTTCGGTCTCAAATCGATCACTGTTGGAAAATCTTGGACGAATTTTTAGCTGGATCGACGCTTTTGATAACCCAACCGCACTTTCTCTTAATCCATATATTTGGGTTCTCCTTTTCTTTTTGGGACTTTTAACATTTAAACTGCTTCTTCAGAACCGACAGTAATTTGAGATCCTTGGTCCACTAATACTCGAAGGGTTATCCATGCTCCACTCGCATCTTGGACCTCAATCTGCGCTGTGGCCAACAAGGATGTTTTTCCCGTTATTGATATAATAGTTGCTTTAATTTCTTCTTGTCCATGTAACAACTCGTGATGGGGTCTACCACACTGCGAACAACCTTCTTCCACTTTACAGACCTTGTAAAGGGTATATTTGTGGCCCAAGCACTTGAAACAAATCCTTTCTTGACGAACAAAATTGCACTTTTCCGTAATAGCCAGTTGACAAAATTTAATGCAATCTTGTAATTTTTGCCCAGAAGTTTTACAGTAAGGGCAGTTGCTACTCATAACCGCAGCCAATACTCTCGGAGTATTTTTGGGTCATGTGTCTGGGCTGCCTTACTACTTTTATGGCTTGCAGATGTTTCTCCAAAATTCCAACACATCTTTAAGCCTCTGAACCTCTTTTGTTCTTTTCGAAGAATGTTCGTATTGTTGTTGTCCTTGTCGATCAAATTTCCTCAGTAATATTCAGTAGCATTAGTTTCATCTTAGGCTTCATCATTTCATCGCCGTCAACCATTTCCTTAAACAAGTCAAAAAATCCCGACCATGCGGAAATGTCTCCAAAAAATGTCTCCCTAACAGAGACTCGACGTTTTTTGAATTTATTCTGTTGCATCCAAATTTCTTTACTTCTTTTTTCCATTTCTATCTTCTCATTCCCCTCTAAAACCGTTGGGGTAATTGGTCCATTTATTTTTAAGTCTTTTAGATTTTCAGTATACCGCTGATAATCTCCCTCAATATATTTCATATATATTGGCCCGCAGTTTTCAAGGTTCCATAAAGCGCTTGTCTTGCTTGGTTGTACTCGTGTAAGTGCATTTCCTGATCCCCAGCCAATTGTTGCATCGAGTAGTTAATTGTTTCCTCGACCGACTTCTTATTAAATTCCGCCAAAATGTTTTTTTTAGGGCTTGTGTTTTTCCATACACATCTTTTGAGAAGTAGTCTCCTGTGAACGCTGATGCGTTTGCCAACAGCTCCTGATGCTGACTTTTGAATATTTCCCATTGACTCTGTATTTCAGATAGGAATTTCAAATCGGACCTTTCTGTTTGACTGACATCATCTTCCCATTTCTTCAACTGGATATATATGGCTGACTGACTAGCCGCGAGAGCTTTAAGTGTTTCTCTACCATTTTACTATTCATTTATTAGTGGATTTATTTCTTAACAATTCTAATTCTTTAAACAATTGTTTCTTATATTCCCCTGTTGATAGGTTGATAAGCCTATTCAATTCTTTTATTTTCCGCCTTTTCTGCTTCTTCTTTGCAGATTTTTTGGATTTTTTCTTTTTCTCCTGAGTGGATCGGGACTTCCTTTGTCGGGCCTTGGACTCCTCGATCAGCAATGGTTGTGGTCCTGCTCCTTTCCTTGCCGCTGCTTCCCAGATATCCTGCGCCTTTTCCAATACTCGTTTAAATTTCTGATGAAACTCTTCGTAATATTTTGTGGACCTCCCACGCCGTTATAGATTAATTTTCAAGCCTCCGCTGACGCTTGCCGATGTGTAAGCCGCGGTCCGCTTCTTGGTTCGTGGACCTCCCACGCCATTGTAACTTATAGCCTGATTCCATTGCCGCATTAAAACGCATTTAGCCAAATGCGCATTTATTTACACAGGGAATCCCATAAGGCTAAATGCCGCATTTAAAATAAATGCGATTTTTAAATGCGATTAAAAACCATTCGCCCCGAAAGTTTTTAGAAAAAATACTGGAAAATACCGATGTTTAACGATATTTTGTTCGTGCCACCACTACAACAGCTGTTTTTATAAGCAAGGTTGGCGCAATTTTTGATTTTTTTTAATATAAAATCTATTCCGTATAAAAATGACTGAAACCTAGAGCGCACGCTGCAAATTCTGCTCGCAGTACCACAATGCATTACTGCTGGATCTCTGGAATAAAATTACTCCCACATATACGGGGATCCTTGCCTTTTTTAGAAACTGTGGTGGCCTTCATTGCAAACCCGTCATAACAACGCAATCAGCTTCTCTTCTTTGTCGTTCAAGTTGGCAAATGTCTCGGTCGCAATATGGATGTCCTGCTGAGCATTACAGAGTTTAGTAAACTCACTCATGTTCATTAATTTTAATTAATTTCTTTTGGATTTGCCAAAATTCAAAAGTAAACAAGCCCAGATCAGCTGTTCGTGCCACTCACATGTCGGAGTAGCATTAACTAAATGCTAATGCGCCAATGGAATCAGGCACATTTAAAAAGTCCACTAATGCGGCAATGGAATCAGGCTATTACTCTCAAGCTCTCTCTAGAACACATTTTAGTAATTAAAAAATACCTCAAATATAAGGAAAATAAAAATCACCACCCTATAATTACAAAAAAATCCACCCCATAATAAAAAACTCCCACACCCTAATTCTTAGAAAACAATTTCCGAATTCTGAATACCTAAAATTTAAAAATTAAATAAAAATATTAAATTCACTGCTCATATATCCATACCCAAAATGACCGAACAATATTTGGCAGACAGACTCACGAATCTTACCGGACCCTCATCAGCCAGTACCACACAAATAAACACACGAATCATGACCGAGAGGGACATTGAGGAAAAAATAAAAATAGTTTTAGAGACAAATCTCAGTAACCTAGTAAAAGAAACACTTAATCCAAATAAAGAGTTTGTCAAATATACATATCAAACAATTAAAAGAGAATTAACGCACAATCTTATTGAGTTTGATAAATTACCAGACATTGTTCGCACACTAAGAGACTTTTCAGGAAACAAAAGTTGGAAAAGTGTCGATGGGGTGTTAAAAAGATCCGAAAACAGAATTGGTTCACCAAAATTTTATGGAATTCTTTTAGCAATCCGTAACAAAATTACTGGTCAAGCGGACGCAGTACTAAAGTCATATAATACCCCCCTAGATTATTTCAAAATGTTTAACAGCGCATTTCGCCGACAAGAGCGACTTAAAGGTCTCAGAATATCAACTCTATGCTCTTAGTCAAGGTAACAATACTATAGACAAATATAACCACGCATGCTCTACATTTATGCGGTCTGCTAGAGAACCAAAATGCTAGGAATAAACAGACACCAAAAACGCCATATTTAGGGAGGGCACAAATGCTACCACTTAAACCTCGACAACCATATTGGATGGTAGACGTCAAACAAAATTTCCATCCGCATCTCTACCATAATCCAAGCCAAATACAAAAACCCCAATTAACCAAACTAATCAGTTCCAATCTTATAGTCAACTTTATACAAACCAAGCCGATGCAGTAGCACCCTTAAGCACACCAAAACTTCCGCCACGACCACAACCGAAACCGGTACTTATGGACGTCGATCAGTCAGTTCGATCGCGTCATATAAATTATATGAACAAATCAGCAAATAACGATTATGCAGGTAAAAGACCTCTCAGCACCGCTAATGTCCCAAATAATAACAAGATGCCAAGACAGTTCCATATTCAACCAGAGACAGAAAGTACCGCGCAGCAAAATTCAGAGGAAGCTGCATCTAGTTCAGAACAAGAGTATTATCAGTTGGTAGAAGAAAATAACGTAAGCGAACTTTAGGAAGAATATGTATGGCAAAGCAATACCGAACAACAAGAATACATAGATATGTCAGAACTTTATTTTGTTGGTAACACTAAAATAAGACAACACGCAATACTTAAGCTCGATGATATTTCGTATGCACACAAGAAATTATTTTTACTAAACACACTGAAAACATTCCTTGGTAGTTTGGGTAATGACACAAAGAAAAGCCTAAAAGCAATAATAGATGTAAAAAATGATATATTAATTCTTGGAAATAAACGCAAAATTCAGCAACTAGCGACACAAGCAGTAAATATAATTGGACCGCAAGTCAGCCATATGACCGAGTCACAAAAATCAATAATAAAACTCCTCGTACAGATCCCGATTCAAAGTTAGCATACACAACTAAAGAAGTAGGTGAGATCAGAACTTAATCAGATTCTTCAGTTTACGAAAAACGTTACCCATACCCAATATCACTCAAACAAATTGCTTAGATGCTAAGAGATGGTATTATAAGACTTTTAAGATCACCATATCATGCACCAGTCTGGGTAGTTCCGAAAAAGTCCGGTCAGTCCGAGAAAAAAAGAACAGATTAGTAATTGATTATAAGAAACTTAATGAAGTTACTATCTCAGACCGGTATCCCATTCCCGAAATTGGAGAAATTATTGCACAGCTTGGGGACAACAATTTTTTTTCGCTAATAGATCCTAAGACTGGTTTTTACCAAATACCATTGAAAGATACAGACATAGATAAAAACTGCATTCGCTGTAAATGGCGGAAAATATAAATTTATAAGACTCCCATTCGGTTTGAAAAATTCGCCATCATTACATAGGGAAAATTTTCTATGTGTACGTTGATGATATTATAGTCTTTAGCAAAAACGAAGTGGAGCACGGCAAAAATTTGGAAAGAGTATTTTCAACGCTACAAAACGCAAATATGAGGGTTCAAATAGAGAAATGCCATTTTTTCAAAAACGAAGGACACAATATTAGAAAACAGAGTAAAAACCAGCATAGATAAAATAAAAGCGATCACAAAATTTCCTGTTCCTAAAACATTAAAAGATCTCCGCTCCTTTTCGGGCATGACAGGTTATTGAAGGCGGCTAATAAAAGATTACGCGAAACTAGCAAAACCCCTAACCATTTTTCTAAGAAGCGAAGAAGTCCGTATATCTGAGACCAAGTCAAGCAGAACTGCTATCAAATTGAGCAGAGACGTGATTACAGCATTCGAGAAACTTAAAATACTTTCGTCTCCAGGTAGGTTACCCTTGCCTATCCAGATTTCGGGAAAAAATTTCAATTGACTACTGACGCCTTAAGTTACGCAATAGGCGCAGTATTGGAACAAAAACATAGGCCAATAACGTTTATTTCGCGCACCCTGTCAAAAACTTAAGAACGAAAGAGAGATGCTCGCAATCGTTTGTGCACTCCAAAGTTTAAGACATTATCTTTACGGGTATTTAAAATTATATATGCGGATCACCAACCCTTGAGTTTTTCGAATAGCGCAAATAACCATAACGCTAAGCTTAAACGCTGGAGAGACCTCATTGGCGAGTATATCCACGAGATCAGATACAAGACCGGAGTAGCTAATGTGGTAGCGGACGCGTTGTCCCGGGCCCCCACAGAAATTAATTCAATCAGCTCTTCAGCATCAGCCCATAGCGATTATTTTTACCAACATGCTTGGTAATAACTACAGTCCTCAACTATTCCAATTTACAAATCATCTCACTCGAAACCGGATTAGCGGCTAAGCAAAACGGAACATTTAAAATCATCCACATCTTTAACCTACAAAGCTATGAAGAAACTCTGGCGAAGTTAGAAGAATCATTTCATTCACTCAGCTCATCTCATTCATTACACCCATATCTTTCCTATGAACTAAAACAGATCCAAACGGGTTTACGCACACTCCAAACTCAAAACAGACAAAAAGTCAAAATAGAAGAATTGAAAGATAATATTGTTATCGAATCGAATAGAAGCACTTTTGTGAAGCTCCGAAAATACCTTAAACACGGCTTTAAAAAAAACTAAAAACTGCTTACTACAGCAGCATAAATAAGAGTACAACACATAAAAGTTAATTTTGCCCGAAATAAATCGGTTCTAAGCTACAAAAATCGCTTCCTAATAAATCCACAATTTTAAGTGCAACAACAAATCATTTAAGAAACAGTGCATAACATAATACAAGAGCACAGAGACAAAACACTCGACACATAAAACACTCAATTGAAAAACTCTCGTCACCACACAACACCAACTCAACAAAGAATAAAAACAAAATAAAATATGGTTTTGACAGAGGGAAAACGCTTGAAAGAAACCTCTGGCTCTAAGCGCGGGCGCCCCTCTGACGCTGCCTATGACACTGCCTCACCAATGTTTATCGCGGCAATGAATAGCCGTTTTGATGAAATAGCCCAGCTGATTAAGTCCACCATCCGTGAGGTCGAGGAGAGGATGCTTAAGGTGCTGCTAGAACGGCTCTTGGGCGTCACCACGGAGATGAAGCAGATGGCCGATCGCATGTTGCAGCTGGAGCAGGAGGTTGAGGAGCTGCGCTCCCTAAAATCCCAAATTGGCACGGTGCAAGGTAAGCTTGACGCACAGCGTGCCGAAAGCGAGGCGTGCGCAGTGCGTATGCATGGCGTTCCTTTTGTTGACGTAGAGAAACTAAGACTAACAAGCTCTGCTTCGCGTCAAACCTTGTTAGGGCTCCGAGAGTCCGCGACATTTTTAGGGTCCGAAAATCGCAAAATTCACTGGTCGACCCGCCAATTCTGATAAAATTGGAAACTACGAGGGAAAAAGTTTCACTTCTTCGCGCACTGGCTGACTTCCGACGCACAACAAAACAGCAACTGAGCATATACCTGTTGGGCTTTGACTCGACGGCCGCTCTCTATGTTAACGAGCAGCTCACGAGAGATAATTTCCTCATATTTAAAGAAGCCATGCATAAAGCAGAAATCTCTTCCTGCTGTTTTTACGCGCCGTGGGATTGTGCACATGAAGTGCAGTGGGAGAGAGGACATTTACGTTATCCAGCTGCTGAGTCTGCTCTCGCCCTCTCTGGATCAAGAGCACAGGTTGTCGAAGTTACCCCTCGTGCTGCCAAAATAGCTTTCGTAAATAACATCTCTTATGCAGCTGATCTCTTTATTTTTATTGTTTTTAGAGTAATTTAGGTTTTCTAGTGGTAATCTTTTTTCGTTCAAATCTAGCTTGTGCTTTCTCAATTCATATGTGCGTTTCCCAATTTACCTTACCTTATTATAATGCAAGTCAGTACAAATAACGCAACAGCGAGCAGTCTGCTGAGAATTCTGTGTAAACAAAAAGTTGGTCTGAAGATTGTCCACATAAATGCTCAAAGCTTGGTCAGAAAAATGGATAAGTTTAGGGAACTTTTTGTAGGATCAAATGTTGATATAATGTGTGTTTCAGAAACATGGTTTGTAAGTGGCTACAGTGACGTCCCTTTTGAATTTGATGGCTACGTGTTGCATAGGTCAGACAGATTAGAACACGCAGGTGGTGTGGCGATTTTTGTAAGCAACAAATACACTTCGAAGCTTTTTAAATCAAACCCGATCGAAGGTAGAGTTGAATATTTGTTTCTGGAAGTCGTAGATCCTAGTTCCAAATCAAAAATGTTAATCTGTTGTATTTATAGACCCCATCAAATGACCGAATATACTGATCTCTTAGAGTCCGTATCAGACATATCTGTGGCGTACGAACACGTAATCCTGGCTGGAGATCTTAATAGCAATAGGATCAGAGAACAAGTGTACAAAATGACTTTAACTCTCTTGGCCTAAGCTTGGTAAACTGCCAACTACCTACGCTTTCTTTGTTTTCTTTGTTAGTGAACCGTCAAAAATCCTTCTCTGTGACCAGCTGTGTGTGCCAGCGTTCTCTAAACATGACTTGATAATTATGACATATGATTTTATTTCTGACAATTCAACACGATTTTTTAAATATAGGGACTATAAATCAATCAATCTCAACAACCTACTAACTGAATTTGACAATTATGACTGGACAAATATTTATGACTTGACTTCGCCACAGGATCAACTTCTATTATTTAATTCCAACATTCGACGGTTATTTGAACACTGTGTTCCGTTAAGAACAAAAACACAAAAACCTGCCGTACAGCCATGGTTTAATTTGGAAATTAAAAAGCAAATTTGCCTGCGGGATAATGCCTACAAATGCTGGAAAAGATATAAAACTGAAAGCCTGCACATAATTTTTAAACAACTGAGAAACTTAGTCACAAACTCGATCTCTTCCTCCAAACGTAGTTGATAAATTTGCCAATGCAGAGACTCCTGGTCAAGTTTGGAAGGATTTGAGAAACCTAGGCATAGGAAATCGGAACTTGATGTAGACGCCCTTAATAAGAAATTTTCAGAGGTTCCTTCCGTTATTCCTACACATAATTTGTACCTGAACTCAACAACATCCTGTGATATTATTTTTAGCTTTATGTGTGTACGGCCATGTGATGTCCTTGAATGTATACTTAAAGTAAAATCAAATCCAGAAGGTCTAGATAATGTTAGCCCCAAATTTATAAAAATGTTGCTCCCAAAACTAATTTGTTATATTACCCGTATTTTTAATACAGCTTTTACCACGTCAAAATTTCCAGTTTCAAAAATATTAAAAAATCTCCGTTCCTTTTTGGGCATGACAGGTTATTATTGGCGGTTCATAAAAGATAGCAAAACCCCTAACCATTCTTCTAAGAAGGGAAGAAGGCCGTATATCTAAGACCAAGTCAAGCAGAACTGCT